GAATCTCTTCAGTCAAAGTTGATTACCAAAGCAATTCTCTTAATCAGCAAGTTTAGTGCAGAGTGGAGCCTTACAGAACACAGCTCAAATGCCTGTAAACAAGATTTTTTTTTCCAGTTATGCAGAGACCTCTGCTTTGATTCCAAGTGATAGTTTGTGGATGCACAATATTGTCACCTTATACATAACATATCTATTTCCACTCAGGAGTCTGTTCCGTGTACTGAAACAACGTCACTAATAAATCTGCACTGCTTGTAGAGCTAGAGACGATATCCCCCTTTACTCAGTATATACCTTTATTGTCATGTATATGTGTGTAAGAAAATAACATAGTCCAAGTACTTCTTAAAGGTGAAGCAACAGCTGTTTAAGAAACAAGAATGACTTCACCAAACTAAATATAATATGAAAAATCTAAGTTGGGGGGAGGGGTGTCAGGGGGGAGACACACAAACAAACCCAAAACCAGCAAAGAATGTCTTCCAACTCAGCTACCTCCACAAATCCTTATTTCTCCCTCTGTTCTTACCCAGTCTCAAGTAATTCTGCTTGTTCAAAACACTGTGGCTATAATCAGGTCAAGTCAATTACAATAAGCAAACACCACCAAAGACTAATTATTAGTGATACAACTAAAACAAAACAAATCTTAGGCATTTCTCTGCATATGGTCTTTTTAAACTGAGATCTAAAAATAGACAGACAGACAACAAGCAGGCTTAAACAATTTTATCAGTGGTTGATTTATTTCGGCCTTCTGCTCTCCCTGGTCACAATTCAGTGCAACCCATAAATAAGTTAGGCCGGGGAAGGAGATTGAATTTTTGAGGCCAGAACAGTAATTGAGGAATTGAACAGCCTGGAGGTTGAAATATCTTCTCCTGGGACATAAGCCTTTGGACCTATTAGCAGCTGTCTATTGCTTTTCCAGCCATGGACACCTATGACCACGCCAACGCATGGACCTGATTTACACTCCTTTGTGTGGCACACAGACAGATCTCGTACGTGTGCTGGGCTCCACCATGCTGGTACTCCAAAGAGAAAGGATCTCTCAGGAATATCTCTGACTAAAAAGTAGCTTCTCTCAAAACTATATGAAGGTCCAATTTCCCGTGAAGAAAATCTGCACCAGTTCAGCACAGTTTAGTTATACAGAAAGCTGTGTTTTTCCACTTTTTCCAGACTGTATCAGTACTCATAAAGGAAAGTCTGAAAGGGAAGCCTGAGAGAAGGAATTTGCTTTTTTTTCTTAAAAACGAAACAAGCAAAAGCAAAACCCTGCCATCACCTACCTGTTCATTTTTTTTGGTCATTCCCTCAGAATCAAACTTTGAGAAGATGAGACTCCACAGAAAATCAAAGTAAGAAGCAATGGATTGCAAAATCAACCCAGGACCAAAGGCAAAAAGGTAAAAAAATCATCTCCAGGTCTTGCTCTGTATGAAAACATGGAAAAGGGCAGGCCTGAGCTCTCCATGAGGCGCAGAGGCTGTTTAGGGGCAGCTTTGAGGCTTTTACCTCAGGAACACAGCCTGCCTGCCAGGGGCTTGCTGGGACCTGTTCCTTCACCTCTGTGGACAGATCCACGTCTGAATCACAGGTCAAAGTATAGAAACAGATAGTGCTTCCCATTCCTCACTAACTCAGCATCCTACAAAACCTGCAGTAAATGTTATTCCTAAGACGGCGTCACCCAGAGTGGGCCACAGACTGCCCAGGAGGGGCAGAAGTGGCTCCCTGCACACCTCCCCTGAGCAGCTGGGTTTGGAACAGCCGCAATGAAAATCACACACCAAAAAGAGAATGAAACTCGATGGCAGATGGAAATGGTACCCCTGGAGACTCGGGGCAGAGCTGGAACCCCTGCCCAGGGCCCTGTGGCACAAAAAAGTGAGGCTGGAATGGAGGGAGTAGCCAAAACGTGTTATCATGAGGTTCACCTCTTCCTCAAAGCAAAGCGTGCATTTAACTTGAAATCACTAAGGGATGGATTAAAAAAGCAAAAGAGGAAATATGAGAAAAAAAAATCACTTTTTAAATCACTATTAAAATCCACATTTCCATCTTTTGCACAGTCTGTAAAGAAAAAACCAAACCAACTGAAAAAAATCCATACATCTGGTTTTGTTTTGTAAGAAAAGATGACAGAAGCTGAAACTGAAAAGCATTTCTTAAAAATTGGTTTTGAATATCACATTTGTTCTGATCAAGCCCATCATATTTTGTTTTGAAGAAAGGCTCCTGATGGCACAAACACAAAACGGCAAGTTTGTTAGATCTGGTAAATGCCAAGGAAGATGGACTGTATAATGGAATTTAGCACTACCAGTTATTAATAAATAATTTTTCTGATTAAATATTCCCACATCATCATCATGACTTTTCTCTTAAGCCTGTACTCACTCTGTACCTTGTGCTCTGCTCCTACTAGATCTCAACACAGACAGGATCAGTCATTTGGGTGCATGACACTAACCCAGGATCTCTTATGAATAAGCTGCTCATAAAATACCATCTCTCCAACTTGCTGTTGGAGGAACAGATGTCAGGTCCTGCCTCTCCAAAGGACTGGGCACAACTCAGCCCCACACACAGGAGGCAGATGAGGGCTCCCCCCTTGCCCATCACCAAACTCCTCCAACAAGCCACTGTCTGACCAAGAGCTGTTCAAGGGGAAAGAGGAGTGTGTTCCCTTCCTGATATTTGGAAGTATTTCTCCATGACCACCAGAATACTGCCCAACTGGACATTTTCTCTCAAAGTCTTGTAAACAAAATCCAAAATTTAAAGAAATTTTCTGTCAGCTTTGGCTTAGTTGAAAATTTTCATCTTAAGCAAGCAAAGAAAATAGATCTTCACCAAAATGTCTTCGAATAACAAGAGTTTCTATCAGAAATGTGGATGGGCAGCCAGTCTCCTAAAAGAAAGAAAAACCACTCCTCTGTAGCTCAACTAGCCCTCATGAAGGTCTCTGCATGCAGTGGGTTATGCAGAGATGTGCAGGAGGGAGGATCACCAGCCCCACGTTGTTCCTCAGCAGCAGCTCTTCCCCCCTCATCATGTGATGTCTCACCAGCCTCCTGCTCCAGTTGACACAGAAATCACTGTGAGAGAGAACAGGACACCATAGCAATGAAATTAAATTAAAAAAAAATCACAAGGGCACCTTCTGAACAGGTGCTGTAAACGTGTTACTCGTGACAGATTTTTGAACTCAACTGCCTCCTACATCCTCACAAGGTGCACACAGCAGGCTACAAGTCTCTGCTTCTTGGAGAAACAGCACATCTGCAGAGGGACAACTCAGTATTAACTTCCAAAACCCTTGCTTGCAGTTGTACTGTTACACTGGCAGTAATGAGGCATAGGGATTAAGCAACTCATACAACTGGCAGGATGTTTAGGATTTACAGCTGTAGTGCACTCCCCAAATGGCTCATCTCAGCAGGAACAGTAACTACTTCACTTACAAACCTTCACAAGAAAGGGTTAACAATCCCACAGAGACACTCCTACAGAGCACAACAAACCAGTTAATTATTGCAGTCCATTTAAAGATAGGTGGACAGAACAACTACAGATATTATGTAATAGAAATTATTTAATGTTAAACTCATATGAAGTAAAAGATCGTACACAAATACATAACATCCAATGGGGCTCATCACCTTTCTCTGCTTTGCACAGATTTATGTTACTCTTTCTGGAGAAAATTAAAACTTGCCACTCACTGAACATCCTATATTTAAAACTCAGCAAATAAGAAAAATAATATGTAATAAGATTTTCAGATGAAGTATGCCACCTCAAGGATTATGGACATCATATACCATAGTAAAACAGGCCATGCAAAAAAACTCACATATCTTGATCTGAAATGTTAATTTGTGTAATCCCACATAAACATACTAATTAACATTCTGTGAAGATCTCCCTTCACTCTGCCCAAGCATCGTGGTGTACATATATCACATACACACTGTATTTATATCATCTTAATGATTTCACCCCACTGACATAAGTTTTCTGGGCAACTTACCATATGCTTCTCAGATGTTATTTATATTACAGTTTACAGGGGAAGTACTAATACTGTACATCTAAAATGGTTATCAGCCATCACCTTAACAGCAAATAACAGAATTTGAATTTCATGAAAATAAGGAGTTAATTTTTATTACTAGAATTCTCACTGAAATACATCAACATTTTCTAAATATCTAAACATAATACATAAACCAAGAGAGAAAAACTGAATACAATGCCTGTTTATTTCACACACCCCCCACAGCCCCCTTACATATGTTCAAATATGACTCTTCTCTGAACCACACAAGACATGTGGGTGGCAGGTACGAGGTTTTCCAGTGCTTACTGTAGCACACACCCAAGTTTGCAGAGGAACTACAAATTACTGTTTTTCAGGATAACCAGCACTGACAAGAAAGCAAATGCTCTAAATGCCTTTGACAGTTTTCTTTGATCACACTGTTGCAGATAAACTGCTGACAGTTTAAAACAGCAACTATTCATCTCAGTGCTGTTGACACATTGAATAAATACCACCACAATATGCAAAATATTTAAGATTTAACAGCATTTTTTCTATCAAAATGATCCCGGGTGTCAGGTAAAAACAGTCTAAAGTGTGATTTATTGAGCATCTCAGTCAGCCTGATTACACATCAGATTTGAATTTTCTTAGGATGATGGCAGGTCCAACTCCAGATATCAGCAGCAGCATTTTCCAAACCTAGGTCCTGTATCAATGTTAGCTTTGCCAGGTGTCAACTGCAATGGAATCCTGGGGAAGGACTTAAAAAGGAGAAAAAACAAACACTAAATGTATTCTTAACAAACAGAAAAATTTTCCCAAGGGTGAGAGTGAAAGTAAGTCTAGACTGCACTGGACTGATGAAAAATACTACATTCTGCACCACTTTGTAACCATTATCTGACTTTATCACTATGAAAGAACAACAGACAAAGCAAAAAAAGTTCAAGGTCAGCATATTTTATTCCTTGAATTATGAGGGAAAATTTACCTGGAAAAAGTGTAACTTTCCAAGGAGCACACAGTATCTCAAACAATAATGTCTCATGCTCCATTCTGTTGACAAGGTTTTCTCAAATTGCACGAATTTAAGAACTGCCCAAACCAGTATCCAACTTACTATTTTTCATAAACCAAAAAATAATCCAAATGGTAAATGACCACTATTCATTAAAATGTCTTTTTCTTCAACTGTAAGCACAGTTCTGAATGATGTCAGGTGAGGCAGTAGGGAACTGTTAACTGCTGAACAGATATAAATAGAAAATGAAAGCACTTTAAGAGTCTTCTTCCATAGGCACCTCCTCTTGTAGTTTCTGCACCATTTTGTCCTCCAGTTGTTTTGGTTTGCCTTCGAAGAAAAAAAAAATTAAATTAAGGATGTTTCTCTAAACCCAAAGAACTGTTTTCATCTGAACAATATATGTGTTTATTCTTGGCTAAACAGTCTAAATATATCGCTTAAAAAGAGTTATTTAGGAGTAAAACCATCATGCTCAAAGGTATGTATTGCTACCCTCTATCACCATTTAAAACTACTGAATTGTTTTAGCAGAAAAACTGATGCTGTTTATAGGCAAAATCTAAAATGCAGTCAAACATATTTTCATCTAGCATGACAAACTGATACAGCTGACATAATCAGCTGTTGAGTTCACATAATCAGTTCAAAGGGAAGCCTTAGATAAATGCACTGGTTAACAAACATGCAGTTCATGGAGCACCAGGTATTGAGTGCAGATTAAAACACTCAAGGAAAAGGGTGAATGCAGTACAAGATAAATAAAAAGGAATGTTTGATTCAGAACAAAGCTACTGCTTTCAGATAGTGGCAAGAGCTATTCTCCATAACCAGTAAACAAATGAATTGTAAGACAAATGCACAGGATTACTCATCTGTACAATTAGGCATTTACCCTAAAACTGTGTATGGAAACCAGGTAAAGCAAGTTCTTACCTGCATGGGGAGCACGAAGAAGGTGAATATTCTGTTTGACTTCTTTGATGTCTTCTGCCTTCTGCAACTCTTTGCTCTTCTTTAATCTGGGGAAGGGGAAGATTAGATTCAATTAACTTAAAAGAGGAGATGAGATGTACACTTTCGTTTTAATGCACGACATCTTTTGCTAAAGGAAGGCATAGGCTGTGAATAACTATTACTATGAGGAAATACAGGTTAAAAGTATTTGAAACCCTATTCAAGCAAATACTGGATACAAAACTAGGAAAAAAAACAGCACTGTATCAACTCTAATCAGAAATTTGTTTAAATGTAAGACTCTGTATTATATACAAGGAAATTTAACTATTATCATTGAGTGTCTAAAAGTTGCATTTGCTTTGACAGTCAATAATGCAGAGTAGAGCCCGCTCAAACTATTTTACCCCATGACTGTGTAAATAAAAAGCAAATAACCACTTAAAACATTTGATCATCCTGTTTGTGGAAAGGGTGCCCAATACAGACATGTGAGAGCTCCCACCATACAAATACTTCTCACCTGTTCATAATAAACCTGGCTTGGCGTTTTTGCTTTATTTCTTCCACTCTCTTCATTGCATCAACTGAAATAAATCAGAAATTGTTTTAAATCTTCTTACATACAGATGAAAATACATGCTATTTTTACAGAGCAACTCTACCAGCACTCCATAACATCTATGTACCAGAGGCAACTCTTACACTATATAGAGAAAGTTATTCCTTCTTCAAAGAGCAGGATAAGGGAATATTCTGTGTAACAACTATGATGAACTGTATTCTACAACTTATTTATGCTTCCACTTTTCTGCCTACACATAATTCCCACAGTTAACCATCACTAGGGAAGATGCAGTTGCAACTGAGCTTCTTCACTACTTGAAATCAGATGCAAGTTACCACTTTCTCCTTTGTGGCATTTATTCATGATACAAGCAGTTCTTCCCTTTCATAGCAATTGATTCCATGAAAGAAACTGAAGTGGAATGAGCAGGAACAAAGAAACAACTGCAACAGTGTAAAAGGCTTACACTGGGAGCCTCTTAAAAGCTGGAGAACCACTAAGGGGTTTTGAAGATAATAATTCAAAATAAAGGAATGCTGGTCCTCATTTTCTAACCACTTTCTGAAAAGAATAAACATCAAGTGAAACTCCACACCTGTTCACAACTCAAACCTCCTCCACACATAAGAATTTGGTCATGATTCCAGTAATTTCAAACACAATCACAACAAAGTATGAATACTCTAAGAAGTCTCCTGAAAATATATTCATGTAGAGTAAAAAATTATTCTTTTGTTTTTTTCTAGAATGACTCACCAGTCTTGTTCCACAACTCTCTCTGGTATTTCACTGGTTCATTTCTACGTTTTTCAAACTCAAATGAATTATCCTGTATTAAGAAAAAGTAAATACAGATCATATATAGAAGCATATTTAGATCAACACATTCTTACTATAGCACTCATTACTCACATAACTTCATATTTTATGTGATTTTTGCCCCTCCTTTCAGAACCTCAGTTCCCAGATTTTAACAACCTTCAGAGATAACTACACTAGAAGGAAACCAAGTGAAGAGTTTGACCTCAAAGTGTCAGGAGCCACAGTGATTTGTCTGAAGAGAACTATTTACTGAAACGTCTCCCTCAGCTATTTTCTATTTAGCAAGACAGGGAGACAGAGAAAACCAATGTGGAGCAGGAAATACAGAATAGATTAGACAGGTGGAAGGCAAAACTGAAAACCTGCAGAGTAGAAATATTTTAATGCAGGTCAAATAAGTTCTACTCAACAGCTTGCAACTTCGAAAAGGTTAAAAAAAAAACCAACCACTATTTCATCTTAATATTGAAACAATATAAAATAATTTGAAATATGTCAATTGGTGACATTGTGGTGTTTGGAGTAGCTGCCATCCCCTAATGCCCCCACCATGAGTTGAAGATGGAAAAACAGTTTCCTAATTATTTTGTTAGGCATGCTTAGCTTTATACCAGTTTTATCTGAGGACTTTTCCCTGCCCAAAGGCTGTTTTTTGTTGAGGTAAAGCAGTTACCTGTCACCTTCTTAGAAAGTATGTTATTTCCCATTATCACAAGCCTATTTAGACAGCACACAAAGCTGGCTCATGAAAGAATGGACACCCACCAAACTAGAAGACAGCACTAAGTTCATATATTGTTTTTATTCTTAGAATACATTATGCATGTCAAAATTGGAGCATATTGTCACTTATTTAGACATATATAAAGAAATCTTACATCAAGTTCTTGTCAAAAAGGTAATTCAAGTTAGCCAAAAACAACTTGAAAGCAAGAAACACAGTTACCAAAGTTGCTAATTAATCTTAGCTTTTCAGAGTCACATTAAAAAATAAAATCACATTCTTCCCCTTGGAAGATCCACAGAAGGCAGTAAATCACTGTGTCAAAATGCTTACTAAATTGTTAATATTCTGTAAAAAAACAGGTAATTAAATCACAGTAATTCTTAAATTATTTAAGGACTGTCCCACCAAATGTGACTGTTTAATATTTTTACCACCAAAGCAACTCTGTTTGGAACTTTTAAGATCTCATGCTGTTTTTGAAACAGTCCTACCTATCAAAGGCTTTTCCTATACATTGTATGCTTTTAAAGACACTTCCAAAGGTAACTATTTTAGGGGCCTACACAGAGAGACTACCTGTTGACCCAGATTATCTGACTGTGCAGAAATAAAACTATCAAATGGATATGTACAGAGAGTAGAAGATTTCTAGATGGAAAAAAATGCCTTGGACTAGGAGTTACTAGGACCACCAACACGGACACCTGATATACTGGCCTCCACCATGAAGCTGAAATGGGAAGATCCAAGTTACACTCAAGCTAAATGAACAGCTCACTCTCAAAAAACTCTCAGATTCTCATCCACAATCCCTCTTTTCTCCCCTTCTTCCATCCCTCCAGCTCATCTAATTAAATAGTAATGTATTAAGCCACCTAATCTAGCCTATTTGCAATGGGAAGAGGCTACATTTCTGCCATTTCATAGTGTCAATGTAAAGTGTGAACCAATTCTTACCACTGTCAATTCTTTGCCAGCTGCTTTTCGGAATGCTTTGGTCCATCTCATCTTTCTGGGATTTCGCTTCCTCTTAAAGTTTCTGTGGCATTTTGATTTGCAGAATCTAAATATCTTAGAGAAGGGAGGTGAAAAAAAAAAAATCTCAGTTAAATCATGTTATTAGTGCCCCATTGTAAGCACGGTAACAAACACTGAGCTTGCTCTAACAATACTACTCATGGGAAATAATATTCCTCTTTCAAATATCAGTATTCTTATAGCAAATATTGCTATTAACAAAAATAATTTCAAGCGCTATTATTGTTTTTTCCTCATGAAGTCATTTTCACAGCTGCCAGGGATATGTACAAACACAATTAAACTGATTATAAATAAAATATGCCTGAGTTGTGAGAATTATCATCTGCAAAAATAACCATAAAACCAAACCTGTAGCATGAATAAACAATTTTATATAGTTGCCAGCACTTCTTAGATACAGCACCATTCTGACAATAAAAATCCTCACACCTCTCATACTGAATACAACACACACACACACAAAAAGTCTATTTTCTGGAATGCAGCTTTAAGCCTCAAAGGAGTTCTAAGCACATTAGTTAAGTCCCAGAGTGAATTCACTGAAAGCTGTTAAAGAATATGTTAAAATGTTTTAACTGGCCTTTTTCTTCTTTCCCTATTTTTCCACACATTCTACAGAATGCCAGATTCTTTACTTAAGAATACTCAAAACTACATTTGCTACTTGTGAATTTTTGAAAACCCTATTTTTCTAAACCATATTCACCTTCCCACCTAATAGTCACTTCTAAAGAAAATTAACAGAAAATAAGAAACCTCCAGTTAAGGTGATCAAAGAACTTTTTTTTTTTTTTTTTTTTTTTTACACTCTTCTACCAAGTTTTTTCACCTCAACTCAGCGAATCAGAACGGCAGGTTTGTCTCCTTCACGGATTATCTGTTCACAACTAACCTGGCACTGTGGTATCTTTTTTAAATACACACCTCGTGGCCCTTTTCAGTGAGCGGAACTGTGTCCGCGCACACCGAGCTCCCCGGAGCCGTGACTCATCCGAGCAGTGCAGCCCGGCCGGGATGTGCTCTGACGCCCGAGCACAGGAAGGAAGCTATTTGCGCAAGCTTCACTTCACACTGGGGTCTCCAACGCCCCGCAGGAACGACGGCGAGTTTCGGCAAAGGCTGGAAGACCATACACAACGTTTTATGTAGGGAATTGTCACGGCAGTGCAAAGCCCAGAGCGCTATGCACGGCCTGTTGTGACAGCCTCAACTGGGTGAGTCACATCAGATCCCTGAGTTACGACTTTTAGCACTTTTAGCAGAGCACCACGAGGAACAAAGACCATCAGCCTCCTTTTGCAACTTCGGCTGCTCAGAGCTGTGCAACCTGCTCCTACCTGAACCTACACTTCCCTAAAATCAGAATATTAAAGGATGAGGATTGTATATGGCTTGCGAGCCGTCTAACTTCTTACTAAGAACCGAAAACAAATATAATTCACCCCCCACTCTTCCCGACAGCCAGAGCGCTGCTTCGCTCCGGGTCGAGGCCGCCGCCCCGCCGACACCCCCGGGCGGTGTGTGCGGGCCCGGCAGCGCCTCACGAACGCGGCCCGGCCCGTGCGAGGGCTGCGGCCCGGGGAGAAGGCCCTGGGCCCCGGCCGAGACGGCCCGGCGGGGGGACGGCGAACCCGCGAGCGCCCCGGCTGCCGGGGGAGCGGGCCCGGCCCCGCCGTACCTTGCAGTCGTTGCGCACGAACATGACGCCGTGGCCCGGGTAGATCGGGCCCGAGCAGAAGTAGCACTTCTCGATCCGCATGGCAGCAGCTCGGCCCGGCCCCGCCGCCGCGGAAGGGCCGCTCAGGTGACCGGAGGCGGCGGGGCCGGGCCCCGCAGCGCCACCGCCCCCTGCCGGCCCCGCCGGGCAGCGCGGCCGCTGCGCTCCCACAGGGATGAAGGGGCCTCGCGGGGGCGGTGGGAGCCCAGGGCTTGAGGGGAAGTGATCGCTGCTGGGCCTGCTTGGTCAGTCACAGAATCACTGGATATTCTGAGCTGGGAGGGACCCAAAAGGATCGTTGAGTTCAACTTTTAGCCCTGCACGGGACAACCCCAAGAGTCACACCGTGTGCCTGAGAGCGTTGTCCAAACACTCCTTGAACTCTTCCATGCTTGGTGCTGTGACCGCTGCCCTGGGGAGCCTGTTCCAGTGCCCAACCACCCTCTGGATGAAGAGCTTTTTTCTAATATACAACCTAAACCTCCTCTGACACAATCCAGGCCCTTCCCTCGGGTCCTGTCACTGGCCACCACAGAGAAGAGATCAGTGTCTGCCCCTCCTCTTCCCCTCCTGAGGAAGCTGTACTTGCAATGTACCTCAGTCCCCTCTTCTCCAGGCTGAACAGACCCAGTGACCTCAGACACTCCTCGCATGACCTCCCCTCACCATCCTCATTCCCCTCCCCTGGACACTCTCTAATAGCTTTATATCTTTCTTATATTGTGGAGCCCAAAACTGCCCTGATATTCCAGGTCTGGCCCCCCCAGTGCAGAGCAGAGCAGAACAATCCCCTCGCTCGCCTGGCTGGTGATGCTGTGCCTGATGCCCCTCCAGGACACGGTTGGCCTTCCTGGCTGCCAGGGTACTCATATCCAACTTGCCACCGACCAGGCCCCAAACACTGTAAGAAAGCTCCAGTGGTTGGAGCCACAACTTCTAAACCATTACGCAAACAGGTTACTGGGGGAAAAGAGTGAGAAAAGTATCTACAAAAGGAGTAATATGCCAAAACCCACACACACACTATATTCACTCACCAGATGCACACATCAGCCACATGGATGCTCACTGCAATCCACTATGTCAAGAGTGTGGTCCATCCTTTGGGGTGACCAGAGAGAATACTGTGAGACACTCAGAGATACTCATGCTCATGAAAGTACTAAAATAAAAAACAAAAACCCCCATACACAGAAAGGAAGCTGGAATTAACTATTAGACAATGCTGCATCTTCAGAAGTAAGCTGACTTTCTTCTTTCCCAAAAGACTCTTTACTTCCCTGAAACATAGATTCATATCTTAATGATCAGCTTGTGTTCAAGCTCCTCCAGCTTTTCTTTATAAATGAAAAATTTTGTTCGAAGTGTGAGAAATGAATGAATCTGAAATGGCTCAGTATTAACACAAGAATAAACACAGTAACTCAAGGAAATGAAAGGGAGTCAGACATAGATTTTTAAATCTATTGCTGATTTCTTCTAAAATTCAGGCAAAACACCTTTGGCTCTGTTTTTATACCTGGAAGATCCAAGTCTTCTATGGGGGAATTAATTTTTAAAGCAAAATCTGAGCTACTGTCAAAAATCAATGGCTCTGCAGACCATATAGGCACCTATTACTCCTGTTCCCTCTCCTAGAGTTACCTGTGCATTGTGAGAGGACCTAAATGCTAGGCTCTGTACCTTCCTAAGTGGTTTGGAATTGGAGCAGATCTCTCTATTCTTTAATCTAGGATGCTGTCCCAGCTCAGAGTCTGAAATCTTCCTCACCACATAAGGCCTTACCACCACAATTCCTGCTTCTCCATTTGAAAGAAAAATCCATGTGTTGAATTGCATGTGCCTTTAGAGCAGTTTTTGCTTTCTGGTTTCTAGAACAGCAAAAAAAAAAAAAAAACCAGTCGGCTCAGTGTTGTATTAAGAAATATTGAAGGAAGAAAGAAAAATTGCTTTAGCACAGAAATCACTTACCTTATCAGCACAGAACTTGTCTCCAATCTTTTTGAAAACCAGACATCAGCCACATCCTACTGCAGGAGACACGGGCTCAAGCACATGGCTGGTGACCAGCACTCAGCCCAGCCCTAAGGGACAACAGCTCCAAACTGACCCAGAGACAGCGAAGAGATGGGACTGTACAGGATGTTACTGTCATGCTGCACCCTGGAGCAGGGACTCTGGGGCTGTGACAGAGGATGGCAACCCAGACGATAAGAGGAAAGACTAAAGGCACACACACAATGCAATTTTATGAGGGAAGCTACGAAGACAACAAGTTTACAGCTAGAGGCAAATCCAAAGAGTAAAAAAGTTTGCTTAGGTCCAGGGCTGCTGTGCTTTGGCATATGCAATAGAAATCCTCCTTTTCCAGTTTGATTACTTTGAGTTTCCTGCCTCTGTGACTTTCTTTCCCCATGGTCTGTATTTATTTCACCAAAGACAGCTTTTTCCTGGCAGAGTACTGTATTGTGAAGTCTTTGGTGGCTTCTACAAGTTAAACAATGTGGATTACAGACTGTCACCAACACCTCCAGCAGACAGATGGGATGTGAGAGCACAGTGCTATTACTTTTCCACCCCAGCTCCTTTTTTCACATCAAGGCACTAATCTCCTCTTCAAGTACAAGCCATTATGTTGTCAATTTGAAGTGCTTGTTCCTGATCTAAAAGGCAATATAGATGGAAGGTTGCTGAAGCCAGAGTCCAGATTAGTTATAAAAGAAGAATATGTACTTTACTCCATTACTAGTTATTCACAGACAGAACTGGGTATCCAGCTGAAAAACAGCCTCACTGGAAGAAGAGGTGTTGCAACAAACCAAGTGGCTTATTTGTTTGATTTTTGACACAAGAGTACTACAGCAAGAATTGTTTCACCAAACATCTCAACCCAATACCTTAAACTCATAGCAAAGCTCTGATCTGCAAGTATTTACATACTTGCAGATCAGAAGTTTCCTAATGGAGTAGTAGAACTGTCATATGCAGTTCATGTAAACTGTCATACAGCCATAGGACAACTGTCAGGCACGTGCACTTGTAGGACAAGGGTCAGAGAGCACATGATCGTGGTGGGTGGGAGACACTTCTGGAGGTCATCTAGAGCAAAGCCCTGCTCAAAGCAGAACATATTAGTACCAGGTGGCTCAGGGCCACATCCAGTTGAGTTTTTAGTATCCTCAAGGATGAATATCTATAACATTTCTCAGCTTCTGTTCCTATTTCTGACACTTGTATGGTGACAGTTTTTTCCTAATCTTAATTTTCTACAGAAATCGTCTCTTGCCCCTTTGTTATCCCTGTGCCCCCTGAGATGGGTCTGGCTCCATCTCCAGTGTACCCTCCCATTAGATAGTTCAGGACAGCAGAAAGGTCTCCCTCAGCTTTCTCTTCTTAAAGTCATGCAAACTCTGTTTTCTCTCTCCCCACCCCTCGTGCTCCAGCCCTCTGATCATGGTGGCATCCACTGGACTCACTTCAGTGTGTCAGTCTTTTTTTTACGGGGGTGTCCAAAGCAGGGCACAGAACTCCAGATGTGGTCTTATAATTACTGAAGATAAGGGAAAACTGAGTACCCCTACCTGGTGCCTTCATTTTACTAGTGCAGCCCCAGATGCCGTTGGTCCTCTCTGCCACAGTGGCACACTTCTGGCTTTTGGTCAGCCTGCTTTGGAACAGCCTGCTTTGGAACAGCCTGCTTTGGAACAGTATGCCCACCCCTTTCCTGAAAAATGTTTTTTCAGCTAGTGCTACTGCATGGGGTTATTCCAGCCCAGACAGAATACCAAGTCAAACTTGCCCCTTTTAAACTTAAAATTGTTTAGTTCAGCTCATTCTCTTGCCTGTCAAGGAACATTTGAATAGCAGCAGTGTCCTCCAGGACATCATAACCTACCTGGAAATACACACTGCTCTTGATGGAAGCAGTTATTCTGAAAAATCAGGCGCTTACCTTTGTAGAAGCAACAGATTTTACAAAATGTATTGGTTGATTCCCTTTGCTCTGAACATGCAGCATACACAGACTGGTAGCATTCTAAATGTCTTATGAGTACAGAACTGACGCCTCTGTTGCCTTCTGTGGGTTTGAGCTCCTTCTGGCATCTCCCAGGACCCATCAGGCCCACATCTGACTGGTTTGGTCAGTGCAAGAGCAGAATATCAGGAAGCACCTCAGCCACAGCACAGAATGTGGATGCATTTGAACTACAAAACCCCAAAACACACAGGGACAGTGCAGAGGGACAGACTGACACTGAACCGAGACAACAGGAAATGTCAGGGCTCTCTTCAACAATGCTGGCAAAGTTCAGATCAGGAACATTTAACTATTTTATATTAATAAGAAATCCTGGGACAATGAAACATAAGGGAAATCCTTTCCAAAACTTTGTTCCATTACAGATCAATGTTTTCATTGGACATTGGATGGAAACAACTTTTCTTGAAATAACAGTTTCTCATCACATAAGAATTCTTGTTTCTTTGTTTTTTAAAACCAGTACTAGACTAACAAGAATAGTGTAATTTACTGTCAAGAAACATTACCATGATTTCTCATGAGAGTTTAAAAGGGAAAAAAAGTTCTACCACACAATAATTCAAACAGATAAATCTTATGACACATTTCAAAGGCTGACATCAAAGCAATTTTATGTAGACTCTCTTTGTAAATAGCTACAAATAACAGGCATGACAAAAATACGACAGTTCCAGTATTTAATATTTAATATCCAATTTAAACATAAGTATTCAAAAGGAAATATTTTTACACCATTTCAGTAGCCACTTAGCTCAGTAGTTGGTTGCAATAATCCTTAAAGTTTTCAGGTACTGGATGGAGCATAAGCACAAAAACTCCCATTAAAGTTAATGCATGACAAAGTTCCACTGTAACCCTCTGAAAAGCAAAGAGTTACATTAAAAGAAATTCAGACACTGAAGTACATTGAAATGTATTGTGTCTTACAGTAGAGTTTGTTGCTCTACTGGTCAGGGACATGATGGTAACTTCAAAAGGCACTCTGAGTTCAACTACAGTAACCCCGGTCCACAAGCATTTTAGAATCTTGGTATTGTGCAGTAGAAAAAAACCAAACCCTATA